AATGCCCTTTATTTACTTCCAAGAAGTTTCTGAAGGATTTGATTAATAACACTAGTAGAAATATTGGAGAAACTCATGTTGTGTGGTCCGAAGGAGGAGGATTATATGAGAGCCGTAAGAAACAAGAGCGAAGGAGACGCGTGGAGGGCACAAAAGGTTATGAGACGTTTCAGTAATCCTGGCCGTTCAGCCCCACAATCCATCGATCTTCACCCACCCCTCTACTACTAACGACTAACGCACACCAATCCTCCGCTTCGAGGTGGTGTCTTCGTTAGAGCTGGCCTCCTTCCCTCGGCTTCCTCCCAATCCGTCGTACTTTTCTGCTGCTCTTCTGGTTTCTACCGTATTCCGTATCTCTTGAAGGCTTTACATTCCGGTTGAATCCAACGATTGATAAATTATCAAGTATATCTCTGTAGACTTCTCTATGGGGAGGACTTCAACTTGTAGATACTCACTGGTTTCCCTCAGACGTCGCTTGATTTTTTTACTCCCCCACTCCTCCCCCTTGTATAACTAGCACTTGTCTTGAAACGAGGAGGTTAGCATGAGGTAGTAGAGGCGGTGTAGAATAGCCTATCAGATAATAATGATGAACCGGACCTCTGTCAAACTTTCCGAATACCATTCCCTCGAGCTCTTCCTATCGAGTGCGTCGAGAGCTAGGAATGAAGTAATGTATCTTGTTGTATACTCGCGGATTCCCGAGTTTTCAAAGTTTTGCGCTCTGGCTTTCTTCCGCAAGCCGCTGAACTTGTTGTCAAATGAGTGGATTACAACATGTATGGGTCGCTGTGTGTAAATGTAGCAGTAGTGATTCTAAAGTCATAAAATGTCTAAGTTACATCAAAGTACAAAGTGCCAACTTGCTGTGAGTGGTCTTGAGCTAAACGGCTTCTTGGAAAAACCTCTGCAGACATTACTTGATAGAAATTTCGCTCTGAAGTTGTCAAGGTAGAGTATGGATGTGGAACGTTGTGCGTTGTAAGTGGAGAAGTCTGTTCATGGATAGGTTGACCTGGGTTGTCGACAAAAACAACTTGCCAGCTTTAAATCATATATAAGTTAGCTAGTAAAAAATTATTCGGCCTTTTTCTGTTCTAACTGAGACGGTAACTTTATGGTGGATGGGGTCTGTGAAATGAAATGCGACATTCGGTTGCTGTTACTTGATGATAAATATTTTTTTGTATATCGCTATATAGCTATTCAAAAATTTTCTCATATAGAGAGCGAATGCTAGCCACAGTGTGAATTGTAAAAAGATTCTTTTGAATTCGGTGGCTATTTGGAGGGATGCTAGTCATACTTTTACAGAAAGTACTGTATTTGAAGTAATCCGTTAGACAGTTAACGCAGTACGATTTACTTGATTCTCCAGTGTATCAGGGATGGTCGTTAGGGTCCCTAATGAATAAGGAATGGAATTCGAAATCTCCCCATCATTAGCTCGATCGCAGCAGCATCGCCCTGAGAGCACGACAACGGACGGAATTGCAGTTGCTTGCGAAAAACAAAGTTTTCGTAAATAGCCAGTGAAGTTAGGGGGGTAATGCCAAACTTTGTTCAGTTATATAGTAGATAGACCTTCAGGCTCACGAGTGGGAAAACGTGAAATCAGAGTATTCTACTGAATTCCATCGTCATTGTCGCATGTCCCCTCTCTGCTCATCCTCTCCACCTTCGACATTCCCAGTTTCCTTGTCCGACCTGCACACCTTGTATAGGGGAAACAGCGAGCGGGACCTTATTAGTCGTTTTGGTTATAACTTATTAGTAATAGAAATCTACAATAGAGTCTGTAGCGAAATGTACCTTTGACTCAACATAACCTTTCACAGTTACCCTCAGCCCTGTTACCAGAACCTTGAGGTGGTTTCAGGCCTCCTTCGGCTAGTGGTTCGACGTAATTGTTGAGGAACTTATAAAAAAGGCATAATCCTTTCCCTGGTGCCCCGATTCCTGGTATCTTTGGATATTTGTTTCTCAAAAGACATCAATGGTTAGTATTACCTATGAGTTGTTTACTAAACAACAGTTTTCCAGACAGACTAATCTTGTATGAAATTCGAATGCAAGAAGACGAGAATGATCACAAAAACCAGCGCTTCCCGCTGCTCATTAAATATTTTCATATATGTGAGATACGCTGCCCATCCCATCAACACGGAGCAATCCTTTTTTTCTTGAGCAAACTAAAGATAGAGGTTTCATTTGGTGCATAGGGACTGTTGATACACCCTAATCCCCGAGCCTATTCAAAGCACAATTGGCAGTGGAGAGTGAAGCTGTCGTGTTGCTGTATGGCTGTGCCCTACAAGAGCCACTTTACCATGGCTTCGGGCGAACGGTTGAATACGCCACGCTCTCCACACCCATTTCAAATGTGGGAGAAGTTCAAATACATACCTCACCGAGAAATGATGGGAGACCAAAGGATGTTCAGCTCGTTGTTTACTCCTCACAAGCGTCGCCAATCAACTAACCATGTCCGGATGAAAGAATCGGTTAGTTTCAATGGGTGGGTTTAGATTGACCACTACGCTACTGTCTATATGCGTAAGTATGACTAGTTCAAAGCCATTCACACCGAATTTGTTGCCCTCTAGATTGTGAAGCAGAAATGACTTTTCTGTTCCTTTTTCTTTTTCTTGTTTCTGTTGTTTCTGATATACTATTATTTGTTAGTATTTACAACTATCAAAACCAGCGGCGCCTTTCACCGAATAGATTTTTATAGGCTAGATTCATTTTTATAGGCTAGAGGGAAACTTCTTCCGTTTTGCATTCCCTGAGTAGCTACCATTCTACCGCTCCACTAAAATTTTCTTTATTCTCAAAAACTCTGATATTAAAATTTTTCCCATGTTGAAGTTCTTTGCTTTGGAGTGTTTACCACTTTTCCATAAACTATGTACTCGCTCACCGTACTTTTATCACACATGTACCGCGCCCGACTAGTTCTACCGTAATTCGTTCCGCATACTGTAGAATAGCACCTCAGATTTTCGCCACGCCGTTTATTCCCCAACGAAATGCTTTTCTTATTATTTTGTTTTCTCTGGCTTGTCCTTTGGGTCTCTAGAGTAGGATAAAACGGCTGGTTCCAATATTTCCACTTAGATGTTGTGCAAATTTCAAATCAATGTCATCTGCGAAATCATGTTGACCGATTTGTTTGTTTCTTCGTTAAAAGTCTTTACTTCATGTAATCATACCGTAATCTAGGCAGGCCTGTTCGTTACTGTAATCTAGACGACCGAGTTCATTACAGTATTTATATAACTTTTAGAAAGTTGAATAGTACTGATCAGTCTATTCATGTTCGATCCCTACAAGTCCATCGATCCCTTTATTAATTCATAAAGATAGTTCATCGATCCTTAGGGCACACTATCTTCTCAGCAATCTTCTGATCATTGTTTATGCGTTTATTGCTCTTCGAATCGTCTTCTTTGATTCTTACTATTATCGCATTCCAGTTAATTTCAATTATGGAGTAGGGGGATCGACTAGAAATGGTGTGCAGTACATATCAACACTTGGAGGGCGAGGATGACGAGATCGGTGACGATCTGAACTTTGATCGAGCTCTCATCTCGCCCACACAACTATTACTACATGCACCTCGAATATTCGAGAATGGGTGCGTGGTTTGAATTTTTCATAGTAGTCGCAAACCAGTATAGGGTGTTAGCCGTGAGAGACATTATGCGCGGCGAGACAACTAGCCAGGATTTGTCGCGCTTTGTGTGCAGACCGAGGATAACGTCACACATCCATACCTGATTTCAACAATAGGAAATTTGTAGGCATCCTTCCAATCTCTCTATTTTTGAAACCAATTTTTATGATCAATTGCATCCCACTGTTGCAAATCAAATGGGCAGTTTCAATAGTTTTTGTTCAAAAGTGACCATAAAATCTGGCAAAAGGACTAATGATTCTGATTCGCTCCAGCCTTCATATTGAAAGAAAGGTATATTACAATGCTGTAGGGCAAGTTTTAGTAAGTCAGATTGGTCCTTGAACTCGGCCGTTCACTGTGCTCTTCTGTGGACTGGTCAAGAGCTCAGTCATGTTTGCTCAGCTAAACGAAGTTCCTAAAGGAATGCATTCATTATTAATGAGACGATGTCTGTTCTCTAAACCCATTGACAACCGTTCATTTTGAACGAAACTGCTACGTGGGATAGTGCGCGTGTTTCGTGAGCTGTCTCTCGAGAATAAACGTGAATATATGAAAATCAGCAAGATCCGGAATTTTAAAAATTGTTGAAGAAGCGACGATTAATGATTCCTTTCGGCTGGTTCGCTTGCCGCCTTGCGGTCATGAAATACTGACGAAAAATAATAAAAAATTGCATTGACGAACACATCTGTTTCAAAGTACGGTAATCAAAATAAGCAATCACGTCAAAATGAAACACCGTTTTTATCGAAAATTTCTGATCAAAAGTAAATGATGAGTCGGATGCACCGGGGCAGAGCCTCGGTCCCAAGGACCCTCTCGTTAGTGGATTGTCGAGCTACAAACACGATGGATAAGCACAGCTCCAGAATCTACTATAATTTAGTGGGCTAGGACAATGCCCTTATGCTCTGGGTCTCAGGAATATCCGCTTCCTTTTGGAAAACGAAAAATAGTGCATATGAATCGTTGTTGCAAAGTTTCCCCGGCGTAATTGCGCACTTCTATCCAAAACAGAGGGAAAGATTCAAGCTAAAAATACATTTTTTGAACTTTGTGGTACTAGCATTTGGGCCGAGTCCCCTTTTACCCTAATTGACTTACGTTTTTCTATCAATTAGCTGAAGCATGTGAAGTGTGCTAATAATGAGGAGCATCCATCTATGCATAAAAATTGACTGAAAAAAATGACAAAAATCCATAATATCTTTTGTATGGGAACGTTTAGGATAATGACAGTATTTGAAATTTTGTTTACTGTTTGGCTTTCAAACTTTTGCTACAAAAAATTTNTTTTTTGTTTCAGAGTTGTTAATGTCAGTGATCACAAGACATGCGCACTGCTGATGACACGAATGAAGGAGGCAAATCGACTACCATCGCCGAGTCAGTGAGTCAAAACCGTTTGATGTATGGAATGAAGAGATGAATGAGTGAATGAGTGGAGTTGATGGTGGTTAAATTTAAAAAAAACGGACAATCTGCATAAAAATCAAAACTAGATCGTATAAGTAAGCATAGCAGTAACGGGATTTTCAGAAAAATTTTTGGTCGCAGCAAGGTTCGTACTGCAGCCGATTCCAGCTGCTTTGTGTTTTCTGGAGAGAACAGCAAGCTTCGGAACTGCAAAAGTTATTCTGGGTTTTCTCCTTACGCTCTTGCACGACTTGCACGGATTTTTCCCTACGTTTGTTAATTATTATGAAGTGAACGGTAACCTTGGATACATGGAACCTTGACTAAGGATCATATTCATGGAATTTGTTTGGGCTCCGACAGTTTTACCGACCCATCTAATCGATCCCTCTGAGAACACTTTAAGTTCTTTCTTATAAGAGTCAAGTAATTACTACTTAGTTCAGTGTCAGTAAGTATCAAAATTCGACTTCCTTGATTAGCTACTCAATCAGTGATTTTATCAAGCCTCACGGTATATGAGTGAACAATTTTTGTCGGGGACAGTGGCTAATCCTTCGACCACGACGTTCAGTGCAAGGAGATCTCTTTCACCTGAATACTATGAAAGAGTTCAGGACATCGAAGTAATATAGAATAGTAGAAAGTATTGAATAGTATTGGAACTCCTCTGTATGATTTGTGGATTTCTGCCTTTTCAGGTAAATCAGGACATGATGTGAATCAGGCCACATTAATTCTGTCCATGACTTTTGTCTAGCTTTCTTTCCCGATTGTTGCTGAAAGAAAATTGGACCAAAGTTTCTTCTTGGCCTGTGAAGTGAAACTTGTAATCTTCTAGCATATTTACTGATTTACTGCGTAAACTTCAGTACATGCCCAGTAGGTACGAAAGTTAAACGTTAATGTCAGAATCGTCGGCTTCAGTTGCCGTTATTGGACGTCGTGTTCATAATGTCTGTCTCATTTCTTGTATGATTTTCGTTGATTGACATGCGTGGATATGACTTGAACGATAGCACACACACACACAGCATTGAAGCGTTTAGAAGAGCCGACATCAATTATGGATGGAGGTGCTCGGCCAATGCCTTTGCTCAGCTAAACATCCCGTCCACATGCCCCCTCTTCTCTCCCCATTTCAAGTGCCCCTGACATGCTCGATCTCTAGTTTGTTGTATGTCGTAAAATCACCATGAGACGCCTCGAAGTAGTAGTAGAGTAGTATCCGAAGGGATGTTGACATACTGCTCCTGTCAGCCATTCGGACCTTTCATAGTTCCTAGACTGACTCTTCCTCGTTAAGCACTTCAAGATGGATAAACTTGATTGATAGTACTCCTAGCGTTAGTCACCCCTCTCATATAATCCCTCTCTGTTTCGACTTCCGACTTCCGATCGTACCGTACCACTAGACCTAGGTGTCTGATTTGTGGATACGCGCGTTCTGCACTGATACAGACGGCTAAGGCAGCTCCAGGAGCCTACTACATCCTGGGTAGTTATAATGTTTTGATCACCACTGAAAGCGCCATTTCCGTTTGCTGGGAATGTTACTAGTTTGCTACATGTTTACCACAGCATCTGTCAACTGGGTGAAGCCTCTTAGGATCATAACATCATGAATATACGTTTGATATCCTTCCCATCCCGTATATCTCTCCATTGGATCTCTTGTTTCTTTGCACATAGTTACCTAGATTCGTGCCCGGAAGGCCATGTTGTTCCGTTCTGGGCCGCCTAAGAATAAACTTCTCCCCCCAATAGCTGGATGTAGTCTACTACGAATGGCTTGGGCGCAATTCGATTCGAAATCAGGCCAACTTTTTCTCGCCAGAACTTGTTATGGTACTTTATTATACATGAAAATCGAGCATTTTGTTTACTTGTTTGTCCCTCATATTCGGCTGATGATTTTTTTTTGCATTTCATTCTTGACTACTGGCATCTCCCTTGACACCAAACCCAGCTGCGCATAAACTATTTTAATTAAATTTTTGAATATAAAGCCCTCAAGGCTCTTCAAATCTGGGAATTATAGAAGGTTAACTTCATAATTACAACGTAAGTACCACACCGGGAAAAAATTTTACGTTGTCACACCAGCTTTACCCTTAAAAGGGCTTTAAAATTTGTCCAAGTTTTTTTTTGAATATTCAATATTTCGCCTGGAAACTGCCCATTCGAATGAAATGAATTATTCGTAGAATCTACAGCTTTCTCAAGGCCCCCTTCAAAAAAGGTAGCATATTTGATAGGGAAGCTCTTCGTTCTTCACCATCAGGCTCTTTAAACTGAAAGTATCTGAGAGTCCCATCTGGAATGGAACGACCGTATCTCACTGCTATACTGTAGCTTTGCTACGGTATAACTAATCAGCTGACTGACAAACTTTGCAAAAACCTTCAAAATCGCGTGAAATGCTTGAGATTCTGTAGATTTTTTGAATTTTTTTTTCACGGTAGGATTCGAAAGCACGAAAATTTTAAGTGGATCATTTTTTAACTGCACTTTTCGGAGTAGTTGGTTTCTTAAGTCTTGGTATATGTATATCTCAGTTATCGCATCATACTTCCGACAGGTTCAAGGAGGTTGTCCTCTTCAATTTTGAAATCGTTGGCTGCCTCAGATTTCATAGAGGACCACTCGGGTCCGATTACACTAAGCTAACGTGGAAATCTGTTTACGTACTAGGTCTTTGGCCTTTTCTATTCTTTATCTGGTCAACACAAGTTTTCTAACGAAAATTTAGAAGCAATCAACTGAGTTGCAAATCCTTGCTCTATGAATTCTCCATTGTTGTTTAGCTAAATGACCGTGTCAGTAATTCACCCTATGCGGGATCTTTTTAGGTTTAGTTCTACGTAATGAAAAAAGAATAAATACTACGCAAAAATAAAAATTGAAACATTCCCCTTTTGCTTGCTACCGAAAAAGATTAATCCCTGGTGACATTTTCATAGATTGCCCCTTAACCCTAATTTGTCTTCTTTCCCTCCAATTCCGGCCCGATCCTTGTTTCCAACAACATGGCCGTGACTAACTGTGACTGATTCGCATGATTATTTTGGTTACTGCAAAATTACTGGCTGACGACATACTTCATCAAATCGCTGGTACCTTTTGGTACCCTTCAAAATTAATCCTGATTCTATTTAGACTCCTAATTTTCTTTCCCGTTGTTAGCTCCCAAGATCGTTGCGTAGCTTTGGGATCGTAATTAAATTTCAAGTATTTTATGTATCATGGCGTTGAATGATCAACTTGATCAAGTTTAATCGTTCAAAATTTCGACTTAAGGTGGTTAACACCCAGAAAGATCTTGGAGGGGCTCACGCAGAGCTCTATGCATCCAATCCTTCAATCCAATGGCTTCTTTTTGAAACCATTTTCGATTCGAATTGACTTAAATATCTTCAACAGTTAATAT